AATGGGATGATCGGTCAAAGGTGCCTGATAAACAAGTTGAGAGTTCATTTGGCAAGCAATAAGAAGTCCAATTTGGCTAGAACATAGAATGCTGGCCTGTTAGTGCCAGACTGCAAGGGGCTTTGAGTCACCAATTAAGGAGCTTGAACTTTTTCCTTCAGCCTCTGGTAAACCATAGAGGGTTTGTGAACAGGAGACAAGCTTGATCAAAGTATCACTTGAGATTAATTTGGAAATAGTGCAAAGGACGGAATGAAGGTTGAAGAGATTGGAGAAAGGAGACCATTGAACTAAGCTCAGTGTGGAAAGGAAGGAACAAATTAAACTATAAGAGATTTATTTTCCAAAGGAAGATATGTCAGAACTTGGTTTCCAACTGAATAGACGTGGGGAGGTTATGGAAGAGTTGGAAGAGCTGGCAGAGATAACTTTTAGATTTTGAGTTAAGAAGAATGATAATACCTTTAACAGTGTAAATGGTATAGTTAGGAGGAGATACTAATGAGGGGAAGGTTTGTTAAGACAGTGTAATTAATGAGAACAGGAGGAGATTTTAACCATGGTGAAATTGGAGAACAATAAGGTAGGTGATTTGGGGGTCTTGACTTCTGTGTCTGAGATGAGTATATTGAGATGTGGAGCTAGAAATCTAGAAAGAAGTTTGGTATCTATAGGGGATTGGTTGCAGGACTTCTCGAGGATACCGAAATTGACAGATGCTCAAGTCCTTTATATAAAATGGCATAGGATTTGCACATAACCTTTGCTCATTCTTCTAACTACTTTAAATCATCTCTAGATTACTTATAATACCTAATACAATGTAAACAGTTGTTATACTTTACTGTTTAGGGAATAATGACAAGAAAAAAGGGTCTGTACATGTTCAGTGCAGATGCAGTTTTTTCCCACAAATATTCTTGACCCACAGTAGGTTGAAGCCACAGATGCGGAACCCACAGATATGGAGGGCCGACTGTATTTGGAAGTCATCTGCCCAGAGACAGCAGTTGACTAAAGAAAAGCAAAGGGCAGAATCTTGAGAAATTCTGATATTTAGAAGACAGAAAGAGTAACTGAAAAGAGAGAAGCAACCACTGGAGAGGCCAGGAGAAAAACAGGCAGATACAGTGCTCAGAAGCAAGGGAGGAGTGAGGAACATGCACACCGGGAGCAGGTCTTTGAATTAAATGGTTATTAGTGACCTTTAAAAAAAATAATAGCCAGGTATGGTGATGGGCACCTGTAGTCCCGGCTACTCAGAAGGCTGAGGCAGGAGGATGGATTGAGCCCAGGAGTTTGAGGTTGCACCAAGATGTGATCACCACTGTCCTCCAGCATGGGCAACAGAGTGAGACCCGTCTCTAAAATAATAATAATAATGATAATAATAATCATAATAGCATAGAGTGATGAAGACAAAAGGTCGTAGAGCATGAGTCGTGGTGAAGAAGTACAGTTAGCGAATTAAACTACCCTTGTGAGAAATTTAATAGGGAGTAGAGGGAAATAAATCCTGAAATAAATTAGCAACTGGGAACAAAACTATTTGGATTAAAGATTGAGTCACTGAATTATTAAATGCGGTATTCATATTGGGAAGGAGGAAGACATGATTTAAGCTATCTTGGGTAGACAAAGAGATGGAGTTACAACTGTAGAATTTTTTGTTTGTTTTGGCTTTTAACAGTTTCCTTTACAGAAGACACATTTACACAAAGCAGTGAAAGCATTTAACCACTTTACCAGTATGACCTTGTGTTGGGTTTTGTGGTTCAATAAGATTATTTAGTCCTATATTTGGGGTTTGGGATCAGAAATGTCAGTTGTGTAGGGGAGTAGCTTTTACTACCCAGCATCCACTTAAGGACTGGCAGGTAGTTCTTGAAGAGCCAGAAGCGTTTGTAGCTGTCATTTTGACGAGTATCTTCACCAAGCTCAGGGCGATCAGGCAGACAGCCCTGATTTCAGAAAAAGAACATAGCATCGATCTAGGCCAATCTTTGTTGAATTTATGAGTTTGCCATTTATTGGCTGTCTTTCCTAAGGAAGTTGACTTACCTTATCTGAACTTCAATCTTTTTATCTCCTAAAATAAGGATATTAATATCTATCAAATTGTGATGTCCATTCACAGGTTCAACAAATATTTATTGAGCATCTTTGTACCAAACCTGTTACATGCCGAGGATGAATGAAGTAATGATCCCCGAAAGCCCGTTGCACAGTGCCTGGCCATGTTAGTTTCCCTTCCAGGTTCCCCAGTATTAGTCTTAAAAGCTCCTGAGTCCTTTAAGTAATGGTATATGTTTGAAAGGAAAATAGAAAACTTATAATCTTTTCCTCCCCAGATACTTTCATTACTCCAGAGATAGACATTGGCAGTTCTTAGTGTGTTTGTAGTTGATTGGAAAACAACCTTGGAGAACAGTTACTGAAAGGGTAGCTGGACCCCTGACAGAGCCACTCAGGTGGGCCACCAGCAGCCAGACAAACTCATTATCTACCTTAACCTGTTCCCCAACCCACATCCCCCGTGTGAAAAGAAAGTAGGAAACACCGTCATTACCTGGCAGGAGAGCTAAGGACCTGTTCCATTTAGAAGGGGCCAGCCACTTCTCCAGTGCAGGGTGGTGCAAGGAGAAAGAAGTACTCACTAGACCTGGGTTAGCCAGGGGCAGCTGTCAACAACTCAAGCTGGCCTGAGCCGGCGTGGCTTCCTGCCTGTGGCCCATGCCTTGTCGGCAGATCTGGTTACAAAGGATGGCGCATGCGTAGGTGGCGGCTCTCGGTGAGTGTCTCTGAGCCCAGGTTTCTCTCCAGTGGAGCTGGCTGCAGTGGGAATCCCAGATGCCTCTTTAGGTTGTCCTGCACGACTCTTGACTCAGCTGACCCTTCCCTAGCTTGGGAGGCCCCAGTACTTGCTTTTCATGAACGGACGGAGCGAGGACTGACCGTATATGGGAAGTGGGCTGAAAAAGCTGTACTCCTCCTTCAGCCTGGAGCAAAAATTGACCTGCACCTCTCCCCTGGATGGTCCAGAAGTCCCTCAGGGCGGGGCTGGGTTGTCCTTTGGGATTAGAGCCCCATTTGATTCAGTAAATATTGGTTTAGGGAGGGGCTGAATACAGTGAAAGGAAAGCCTTGAGTCTCCAAGGGTAAAAGCCATGTTTTTAAAGAACAATTTATGGCTGGTCAGGTAATGCTTAACTTGGATTATATCTAATCGAGAAACTATTCTTATACCCATTTGACAAGTGGGGACACTGAGGCTCTGGAGTGGCAGGCGGTCATTCACCTCCTTATCAGCAGGGCGGGGAGAGGAACCTGGGATGTTCTGGGGTCTCCAGCTCTTTCCCACCTGCTCTACTCTCAAGAGAAGGAAAAACGGTGCCTACTGTCTTTAGACCGCGCAAGGATCAGGAAGATTTCTTTCTTCATGATCTTGCCTTGCCTCAGTTTCCTGGGCTGTTCCCTCTCATTCAGCTTAAGATAGGGAAAGAGATTAGACCTGCTCCAAAGTTTATTTTATCATTTTATTTTATTTAAAATTTTACATCCTTGTGGTTTTCTTCATCTCTTGTAAAAATTGTCAAACAGCACTGGAAAATAATGCAAAATGTGGCAGAGGCTTCTGTAGGAACCGCCCGCAAAAAAACAAAAACAAAGGAGACATTGTCCTCAATCTTCCTGTGAGGCCGTGGAGCCACTAACCTCTGCCAAGAACCAGATTCTTCTCACTAGCACCTGCACTGGGCACAGTTGAGCTTTGCTGGCGAGAGTCTGCGTGCATCGTAAGTGGAAACTAGAATAATCGGTCCATGTTTACAGGAAGAACAACTGTTAAAAGTAAAACCTTGTAGAGATTTGACTTTGTCTGCCACTTCTTTGACCCCATCATTTGAAGAGAGGGAAGCTATTGTCCATTGCTTGGTCAATATCGTTTCGTTAAAACCCATCATCAGGCTTTTCCCCAGTCTCCCCTCAATTTGGAACCTAGGAGCACCACCCGCTGAGTCCTGAGACTACCAGCAGGGGGGAACTCGGGAACTGGCGAGTTACGGTAGAGTGTCATACAAAGAGCAAAGTTCCTACCGCCAGTGCAAGCCTGGGTTTGAAACCCAGTTCCACCACTTTCTAGCTCAGAGTCCTCGGACAAGTTACTTTACCTCTTGAACCTTGATTTCTTAATCCATAATGTGAAGCTACTATAAACCCAACCTTTGGACAAGGGGAGTGGGGATGGGAGAGGAATACTTTAGGGAATCCATGAGATATGTATGTAAATTATCTGGCCCTAATAGATGTCCAACAGCTGTTAATTTCCAGCCCCTCCATTGCACCCTACAATTATGTTAATTGATTTGAATCATCTTAAGACTTCAGCCTCAGGAGTTAGAATGCCTGTGCTTGGCTCTGGCTCCTCCTAGTTGTTTGACCTTTGGACATGTTATTGGGCCTCTCTGTGTCTCAGTTTTCCCACTGTAAAATGGGAGTAATAGTAGGACCCGCCCCATAGGGTTGTGAGGATGAAGTGAGTTATTGATATATAATATGTTGATGAGTTATATATGTTGGAACATATAATAAATAGTAGCTGTTGTTGATTTGTGGTGTTGGTGGGTACAATGATGTTATTAGCTAAAAGCTCAAAATGAAATCGTAACAGACATTTTTTAGAAACATAATGACCAAGAGAAAAGAATTGATAATGACAGCCTTCCCTGTTAGTTTAGGAAGCTTTGGGCTTCCTAAAGCCCAAAGCACTTGAATAAAAACTCGTTAATTAAAATAATTGGAAACAATGCTTGCAGTAGCTATGAGGACAGAAGAGACTTCTAGTCTGTATCTCGAAATTCAGCTCCGGCTTGGTAAATGGTTCAGCCTCTGACTAGTTCTCACCGTAGCCCTCTTAGGTGCCCTGGGCCTGGCTGAGGACAGGGAGGATATTGACCTTTCTGAAATCCATCCTTGAGGTCCCCTTGACTTCAAAAGCAGCTTTTCCAGGCTCGTTTTTCCCCTCTGGTCTGGTGCTAAAGCGTCCTCGTTCCCCAGCTGTCACGCTCAGTTGGCCTGATTGACCAGAACCTTTCAACACACGTGCCTGACCGGCTCACCTCTGAGGAGGTTGCTCACTGGGCTTTGGGGGTGCAGTGGAGGTAAGGAGACGGGCCTGCCCCTCCTCCAGTGATGCTGTGCTGTTCTGTCACTAAATTGTACGGGATTGACAAAAATTATGAAGGCCGTCCTACATGAACTGTAGCTCTCACAGAAGAGCTTGTGCAAGTTGACAGATAACTCCCAGAGACTGTCACTTACAGGCCCTCCGTAAATGTTTGCTGAATGGAGTGTTTAGTGTGTAAAATTTGGGTTCACTGCCCCATCGTCTTCCTTTGCCTTCCATTACTGCATGGGTAAGGTCTTCCTTTCTGCCATTTAAACTTCAGTAATCTGAAGCTCAGGGCCAAATAGCTTTTTCCTTTCCATCCTTTGCCTTCTCTGTAGCTGGCAGAGATGGGGTTAAGAATTGTTGGCAGCTAATCCACCTTGGTTTGAGGCCTGCTCATACTGAGCAGGAAGAATGACTGGAATTTGAGGGGGAGGGGAAAAGATATCCTGACCTCTGCAGGCCATGGCCTCCAAACAGCATCTTCTGTTCACTTTCCCCACTGAACTAACAGCCGAAGTACCCCTAGGTCACCTCTTTTATTCACACCTCTCCACCTTTTTCAGAACCTGGAAGCAGACTGGGGCTTTGAGGTTTTTTGTTGATCTTGAACATGATGTATTTTGCTGTCATCTCTCAGCCTTTTGAACATTTTCTCTTTTCTCTCTGCCCCATCCCTCTCATTCTGCCCAACTCCTCTCCCTCCTGCCCAAACCCTACAGGTCTGAGTGCATCAACAAGTTTGCTTCAGTCTTTGGGACCATGCCTCTCAAGGTGGTGGAACACCGAGCCGATCCTGTCCTGTACAAGGACGACTTTCCTGAGAAACTGAAGAGCTTCCCCAACATCGGCAGCTTATGAAACGTGCTGTTGGTGGAGGTCTGGACGTGAGGCTTAGACAGAGAGAGGGAACGGGGCCTCCCAGCACTCTGATCCCAGGGCAGGGGGTTTGGGGTGGAAGGTGACCTCCTGGATCTTGGCATGTACCTAACCTACTTTCTCAAGAGCAGGAACCTGGAAAGAATATCTAAGCCCCTTGAGCTGTGCAGCCTCTGTTCTTGTGTTTGTTAGAATCTCCGATACGTTCTTTTTAAAAATGCAAGATGGAAGCCCTTGTGGCATCCTCCAGATTTAAAACCAGCTCAGGCTCCCTGTGTTTTCAGTTCCAGTGTAACAATCGGAAAGGAAACTTCACCGACTGTAAGACTGCCGGAGACGAGAAACCTCTTAACCCCTTTTAGAGTTAGAGAGTCATGTACAAGGTACCATACCTCACTTTATTTCACATCACTGAGTTTTTTGGAGAAAGAGCCAAGCCCAGAATTTGGTGCAAAACCCAGACATCTTGGTGGGATTTGATAGATGCCTTAGAACCCGGGGCGCCGAGCTCGAGCAGGGGAAGAGCACCGACTGCGGAGTCAGGATCTGTCAGTTCCGTGAACTAGTCCTCGTTGGTTTGGCCTTTTGATATGATTAAAATTATTTTTTATTCCTTTTTCTACTGTGTCTGAAATACTGATTCTTGATAGTCCGGGGAACCATTTTTCTTCTTTCGTGTAATTTAACTCTGTCTTCTGCCCGTATCTGAGAAAACACATAGCCAGGAGGAGTATCTGGTACCATGTACGTCGAGCATAAGGAAGGTCCCAAATCATAAACATTCTAAGAGCAGATGACTCCAAAAACCTCCAGAGGAATCCATTTGCTTCCTGATTAGATCCAGTCAACGTTTTGTAGATGTTCTTAGGGAAAAACAGAGGGTTTCTAATAGCCATACACTGAGTCACTTTAGCTGGTACCTGTTGTAAAAGTTGAGGGAGTTGTGACCCCTCCCCCCAAGGGGATGCCAAAATTTCCCTCATTCTTTTGGTATAAACTTAACATTAGCCAGGAAGGTTCTGGCTAACATTAAATGCTGCTATAACAATGACTTTGCAACAGTTGCCGGTATATTTAAATCATTAAATTTCAGCATTTACTAATACTGCACATGTGTGAATTATACCTCTTTAAGCCCAGTCGATGAACAAATCTACTCTGGCAAATGTTAAATGTTATGGATTCGAAACAGATTTATCTGGCTCTAATATTAAGATTAGCCACAGTTTGGGCTTCAGCCATAACATATGTCCCCAGAACACAAAATACATAACAATTTGCTTAGAATGTGGATGTCATTACTGAAACCTAGCTGTGTGCCCGTCGAAGTCACTCACACACCACCCGTTGTTGTACCGCGTGCCTTGAAGGTAAGCGAGTAGTACGCTGTGGTCTCCTCCAGAGCCACTTCAGATGTGTTCCACAGACTTTGAGGGGTCAAAGAGAAATTTCAGAAGTAGCAAAATTGAAAGTGGAAATCACGAGACTTTCATCTTTTTTCATATTTAAGGAATGATAGAACCATGGACTGTTATTGCCTGAAGGGATAAGCGATCGTCTCGTCCCGTTCTTTTCGCAGATGCAGACACAGAAGCTGTGATTTGTCCAGTATGTGACAGCTGCAAACACAGGTGCTCAATAAATACTTTTCACTGGGATAATATGCGCTAGTCGGTAGGCGATACTGGGAGGTATTTTGGTCTCTTAATACTGGGGATGGTATGATTGAAAGCAAGAGAAAGGGATTTCTCCGCATACCAGAAGCTGACAAGAACAATGAGTACGTCTGACCTGACCAGGGGTTCTCTAGTTTATTTTCCAAGATGTGGGGCAGGTTTAGGTGAAGGCCTCACATTTAACTCCCTGCTGAAAGCCACAAACTGTGCTAGCATTATGTATGTGTCCTGTCACCCTAGCTGCTTCCGATATTTCTGTTCTTTGGCTCATCAGTGAATGCACTGCCTTATAGCTGGTTTCTAATCCAGTTTCCCTCCCAAAGGGTACATTTCTTCACTTTTTTTAAAAAAAAAACCTTATTAGCCCTTTGATTTTGGAAAAAGAACTCTTTTATCCAAGATCATTGGGAGCTCCAGAGAGCTGTGTGACTTTATTGTCTTCTTAGGATTCATTGGAATTGAAAGGCATTAAAATGCCACTTAAAGTACCTCACTTCTCCCAGAAATATCTGGGGTTAGGTCTTGCAACATAGCATAAAACAATTTACATTATAGAAGAAGTTTTATGTCCTAGGTGCTTGAAACAAACCTCAAAGTTTCTACCTTATGAACAGATAAGTGATAGAGTCACACTAGAGATTCAGGACAGGAATGTAGCAGGTGATCACGATTCATGGATTCAGAGGGGTCTGGGGACTCCACTCCCTTGCTAGTGTATTTCTGAGCTGCTAACCAGTGAGCCTCACCCATAAGCCTGGGTCAGGATCAGCTGCCCTTGGGATGCCATAGGGCCCAGTTTCAGAAGCGGAACAATAATGCTAATTAAAATGTCATGTTCTGGCCTACAGTAGACAACAGCTGGTTTTAGATTAAGAAATCTTTTTAAAGAAATTGCATACTACTGGCCTATAGAGAGGATGAACTTGTACTGGCCCTGGCCCAAGTGTGTGCCCTGAGTCACTGCCTTTGTCCCCAGGGACCTAACTGGGATGGGCCCACTTGGAATGCCAAGGTTGGAAATACTTTTGACTGATTAACATTAGATAGTTAATATTTTTATCTCATGTATTTTACTAAGCCTCACACACGTTAGGTAAAAACTTCCTTTTGTAGGAGAACTAAAGAGGAAAATAGCAATTTCAGTTTTCAAAATCTCTGGTTCTTTCCTGCCAGTGATGCTCTGCTGTCTCCTCTCCTTACTCAGTGTCACCAAGTTCAAAACTGACTACTCTGGCTTCCCTGCCAAGCCTCATATACTTCCAACTGTGCTTTGAATGCGTGGTTCTAAAGTGCAGGTTTCTCTGTGTTTGGAAAAAAAGTGACCATCATACTGGCTTTGCTGACCAGGACTGGGAGCTGGAAGGGGCAAGCCCCCTGTGTGCTCGCATTTTCTGAAGGAGTTGCTAATAACTCTGTGATCCTAGCTTCTTCAGGATAATAGTCTCTGACAGGCACCAAACCAGCAAGGAGACCGGGTATCCTTATTACTGAAAGATAGCAGGTTTCTAGCCACAGGTTCTGAAGTTGTGTGTTTGGGTTAAAATCCAAGAACCCTTGATGGTTTTCAGCCAAGGTGGTAATCAAGAAGTAGAAGAAGCAGAGACGGGGTTTGGGAAGTGGTTGGGTTCTGGGAAGGCTCTTCCTGGCTCTGTAGTCAGAAGACCCTGTGAGGACCCAGCTAACAGAGCAAAGGCTTTGGCTGTTGGAGGTTTCCCATCAGCCACCCGTCCTGAGTTTGGTGGTGGGTTTCCTTTGCTTTGTAGCTTCTCTTGGGTCAGGCTGCTTTTTCCATTTCTCTTGGCCCAGGTAGTCTTCTGTTGCAGCAAGAGAAGCCACAGCAGGCAGTTTCCCAAGCAGCGCTGGCCTGGGGAGGCAGAGACAGAGAATACTTAACTGGCCCCAAGCCTCCTCTCGCCTCTTCCTGAGAAGCAGTTCTGGCAGCAGTGCTAACCATATTGGCAGGCAACTTCCATCCAGGAAGACTTTGGAAGCAACTCGAGCTTTCCACTGCAGGGCCTGGAAGCATATGAAACCTGTGGGGCTTGTGCCTACCCACCTCACCCCAGAGCTCTGACTGAGCCCTGTGTCTGGTACTCACCCATTTCCTACTTCTGAGTAAAACCAGGACAGTGTTTGGCCCCATTATACCAACCATGCATGGTCTGACCATCTGTGAACAGGCTTCACTGAGCTTCTCTTGGTAGAGGAAAGCCAGACAGGCAGGACCCACTCTAAATTTTAAGGCTTTCCCCTCTCTTTAGGGTGAGAGCTGTGAGTTCATCTGAAGACCGGGTGAGAGCATTCTAAACTCAACCCACAACTTCTCTCCCACCTCCATTAAATGGACTCTCAGAAGCCCCAGGCTCGTGCGGATCCCAGGTTCCCTGGAAGGGCGTGGGGGCTGTATAGGCAACCCGTGCCACGGCTTTTCAATTTCTGGCTCACCATTGCCAGCAACAGGGGGAAGCTGACTAGGGAAGGCTTGGCCCCCTTTCCCAGCTTTCCAGGCCTCTTTCTTTTTCAAGAAATAGTTGAGTCACCAGGATCTGTGTCTGGCATTTTGTTTCCTCAAATCTGCAGCCTGTCAGGGTAGAGCTTTTGCCTTTCTTCTGCTCTCGGGGGTTGGACCCCTGTTTGTATCTCTTCCCACTCCCTCTAAAGGCACAGAGCTATCAGGCAGAAGGTAAGGTGGCTCTTGGGAGGTATCAGGCAGCTGCATCTGCTAGAGGCTTCCTTAGCAAAGCCCTATCTTGTCCACACCCTCTCAGGAACTGCATTTGGGGTGGAGCTGCCAACAGAGCAGGCATCCATATGTCTTAGACCAAAGCCGCCATAGAGAGCCTTCCCTTCAGAATATACTTACTTTGGTTTTTATTTGTAGATACAAACTTATATCATTGGCCACTACACACAAGCATAAACTCAAGGAACGTTTGGTTTTCTGGTGAGCACAGCTGAAAAACAACCAAGTAGTTATTGATCCAGGTAAGGAAAGAGAGCATTCATTCATTCATTCATTCATCAGAATGTACTCCTTGCCAGGCAGTGTGTCAGGCCCAGGTGACACGGAGTTGACTAAGATGCTGTCCTGTTCTCGAGGAGCTCCAGTTCCAGCAGGAGCTCTTGAGCTCTGTAAGATGGAGTGAGTCCATCAGTGACCTAGGACTCCAAACATACGTTTTGGTCCCACCTGTAAATGAGGATTCCATTAACCCCATCTTCTCCAATGTAGAGAATGCAAGGAGTTTTTCAATTTCCTTTTCTCCTAGCAACTTCCCTTGAGTTGTACTCTGGACCTTGAGGGAGTCCACTGCCCTGTCTTAGTTTCCTCAACCAGGAATTAGAGGTAGCAAGAGCTGGGATGATGAGATGGAATGATGTATCAGATCTCTTCCCCTTCTCTTAACCAGGACTTTTACCAGATTGGACCTGGTGATGCTGGCAGCCAGCCCTCTTCCGGCCTCTATTTCTACTTACCCTGTTACCAGAGAGCCTGGGGGTCTGGATCCTATCTGGCCCCGTCAGGGTGGATTACCAAATGAGCAGTTCTTTTGCCCCAGTCCCCTTCCTGTGCTATAAATAAGCCCCATGTTTATTTTCTTATGTTATTGAAATGAGCACTTGTGATTTGGGCCTCTTTTGACGAGTCCAGAGAGCGTCTCTTCGGTGCCTGGTGAGGGCCCTGCCTGGCTGGCTGCTGTCTGAAGCTATTTGGAGTCCTCGCCCTGTGTTTTGGATGTGGCTTAATTTCAATAGAAAGGGCTGTATGCAACCCTGTATCTGCTGATTTTCAGGTTTCAGCTTTCTACCAGCCTCACTGCCTGCTTAGAAGTAAAGTTGTGTTTCTCATTAAGGGGATAACAGCCACAATTGAGATAATTAACAAAAATTGTGCATTGGTGGCAGCAGCTCCTATAGGATTTCCAATAGTCAATCTTTCTCTAATAGATCCTGAGGAGCTCACCTTCATCTCCTGCCTTCTGCCTACCTTGTGCCAAATACCCTGTCCTGGCTTTCTGAATATAGTCCCAGTAATTTCTCTTCTAACAGCCTTGTTCTTGTTACGGATTTAGTTTGGTATCTTGACAACTTGGGCAAATGCGGATTCCATTAACTCCATCTTCTGCAACGCATGGAAGATTTGAAGTTTTTTTTTTTTTCTCTTATAGCACCTTCCACTTGCCAGTTGTACCCTGGCCCATCCTTGGAATTTATAGAGATGAATAACAGAATGAGTCTCCTTTTAGTCTCATGTCATCTGTACCATCTCAATGGAGAGGATGATCTAGGGCATTGTCAGGATTGAAAGGAAACATCTCGCAGCCCAGTGTAGTATTTTGTATGCTGGGTGGAAGTCTTGGAAGTAGGAGATTTCTGAGTGAGGACTTGCTAAAGAGTGATTTTTGGCTCCTTCAGGCTTTCACAACAC